TGCCAAATGTCACTGAATTTATATGCTTGTAAGCAAGAATAACAATCTGTCTATAAAAATCATACAGTGGAGAGTGAAGTAGCTTTCAAGAGTTTTATTTAATATATCTTATACCTTCTGATAATGAACTTACACAGCATTTTCTAAGTGTTGTCTCAAATCTCTTATTCTTCATCATCTCTCACTGTACCTCAGTCAAGGTCAGGTCCCAGGTTGGGAAGCAGGCCTAGTGAGCAACATTAGGTAGCATGGATGAATGTTCCTGGAAACTTCACACATGTATTCAGAACCAAGTCTCCAGAAATGCTTTATTCACAGAACAATAAGGAACTCCTCCCACTATAAACAAGAGAATCACACTCCACTCCAAGATCTTAGTAGAAGACCAGGGCCAACCTGTCCAGTTGAGCAGGCTGTGGTCTGCACACAGCACTCAACAGCAAGAACACTCCATTAAATGCGCCATGGGCTCCAGAGCAAGGCGCTATCTGCGCAGGAGGAAAGAGTGTCTCGAAAATTTGCATAAAAGTGTCTATGTGAGATTTAGAAAAGGCACCATTCAGCTCACCAGCCTTGCCCCAGGAACTGCATCCAGACAGAAGGGATCTCTTGGCTACTTTACAAACAATTGTCAGGTGGGCTGGCAATAACTCTGGGAGAAACTTTGTTCTAACAGACACTTTGCTTTGCCCTCTGTCAGGCCAGACTTAAGAGAGATGTCAGGCAAAGCGATGTGAGAAGATGCTCTTCTAACTATTTACAAAAACAATGTGAAGTAACACAGCATGTCCTGTTGGTACAGAGTAACAGCACACCCAAATTGCTCCATCTGTTGGGAGGTGGCAGGAGACTGCTTTGATGAGGGAGGAAAGACTAGCAATGGGGATAGCAGAGCAGAGAGGCAGAAGAGAGCTATCCAGGAACTTGTGTGCTGCAGAAAAGGTAGCACAAAGCTCTCTCACACCTTCACAGAAGACAGGGCCCAGTGGAGAATGGAAATAGAATATAAACTATCTACAGGACCACAGTTTTCCACATAGAAAAGATGTCAACACGCCATCTTCATTATCATTACCATCACCATCATCCTATCACCACCACCACCAAAAAGAGGGAATGGGGCAGGAGGAGGAAGAGGGAGGAATAATTCCCTGGCAACAAATGGTCCTTCAATCCCAAAGAAATGCTGCTCCACCACTCACCTTGAGACAGCAGGTCATCCTGGCTTTTCAGAATGTGGTAGAGGGCTTCTCATCAGGCCTGACAGTATCTTTTTCTGCTAGCACGGGACACATGGTGCCTTGTACCTCACTTCAGCCCTTGTGTCCATCCCTGCAGCTTCTCATCATTAAGATGCCAAGTCCATTCTTGGCATGGGCTTAGCAACTCTTCAAGTCTGTGTTGACTGAGTGCTTTTATTTTGATGTATGAAGTATGACAAAGTCTCATGAATGATTTTAATAAACACCCCAAAGCATATATTCAAGTGAGTGCTGCTCCCTCAAAGTTGTTCTCTCAGAAGGACTTACCCAAATGATTGGTGCATGACTTCTTTCAGTCTCCTCTTCTGAGATGCAATTATAAAGTAATGACTGATCACTTTTCCATGTTGCTCATTATATTGACTCTGAATCAATCTTTACCACTAAATAAAAACAATCCCTTTTTAATTTAGCCTTCTTACTTTTCCTTCAGGCTGTTCACAGCACCCACTCCCTTACAGCTGTGCTCCAGCCATGCCAACTTATGGGCAGCTCCTAGATGATTCAGCGTATGTCATTCCCTGATCTTGGAAGATCAGCCTCTTGTCGCTAGGCTCTACATTACCTCCTTCAGAACTCTCATTTTACTGCCTACTTCCTCCATCCTCCCACCCCAGTCTGTTTAGTTCCCTTCAGTTTATCTGTAGCTTAGAACAACCAGGGTCATCTCAACCCACCAGGTGCTTGTCTTCAGATGACCCTCTCTGTACTACTGGATGAGCTCTTTGAAAGCAGACACTGAGTCTTATTTTCCTGCATCCTTAGGACCCAACAGCACTGACTTCTAATATTGTTCAATAAAGAGTTATCAAACGACTGGATACTTGAAAGAGGTGGGAAACTTAAAATGACAACTCCAAAAGTAAAAGTTCATTTGACTGAGTTCTACTTGAGTTCAAGAATTACTGGGATGTTTCAGTAGATGATGTTAGGCAACTAGTCAATTTAATAAAGTCAGATGCCCTGTTTTATATTACAAGCATGTATACAAAATTTCAATTGGATTTAATATTCATGTTAAAAAAACAGAAACTAAGGGCCAGGGATTTAGCTCAGTGGTTTCACTGCCTGCTGCACAAGCACAAGGACCGGAGTTCAATCCCTGGTACCAAAAAAAAAAAGAAAGAAAGAAACTGTAAAGCCACCAGAAGAAAACAACAGTGACTATTGGTAGAATTTTAGGGTAAGGAAAGCCTATATACACATAAGACCAAAGCCAAGAGCCACAATGGAACAGGTTAATGGTGACTCTGAGCAAACACACTTTTTATGTAATACCTTCCATGTAGAGTTGCCAAGGATTTAGCTCAGTAGTTCCGCCGCTTGCCTTGAAAGCGCAAGGTTCTGAGTTTGATCCCCAATACCAAAAAAAAAAAAAATCAGCAACACTTCTATGTAGGTTTTTGTCAGAATTCATTTTCATTTCTTAAGAATCCAAATATCTCTAAACATCTGCCTATTTAAGGAGTCACAGAGAAACAATCTTTAAAATATACTATTGTGCAAAAAGGCTGGAAACAGAGAAAATTGTGTATTTTAAATACTTTTCAGAGTAACAGTTGAATCCACTGGTTCTGAGACACTTATGGAAACTGAAGAAAACTATATTGGGGCCGGGGATTTAGCTCAGTGGTTCCGCTTCCTGCCTCGCAAGTGCAAGGACCCGAGTTCGATCCCCAGTACCAAAAAAAAAAAAGAAAACTATATTGAACATATTCGAAAACGAAATTAATATATTATTTGACAACATCAATCTAACATTTTTGACTTTTTGGACATAATATTAAGCACTGGGGTTGGGGGAGTTGTAGTTGTTGTTTGTTTTGATTTGTGTTTCTGTTCCATTATTTGGGTTTTGGTGTATTTGAGACAAGGTCTGGCCATGTAGCCCATGTAGCCCATGTAGCCCATGTAGGCTATGTAGCTGGCTGGCCTTGAACTTGACATCTTCCTGTCTTAGCCTTCCAAGTGCTGGGATTATAGGTGTATGCCACCTGGACCTGGCCTGCAGTGCTTTTACTTATTTTTTTTTAGTGCTTTTATTTTTAATTATAAAACATGGAGCTACCTAAATGTTCAATACACCCTGTTAATAAATAATCCTTTAAAAATATAATGGTGTTGAAATATATTGACCTGAAGGGAAATTCATGTTATATTTTTAAACAAAAAAAGAGATTTTAAACTATGAGGTGCATTATTTTCATAAGGATATATGTTTATTTATATAGTTCTATGTATACACAACTCTAACATTAATAGTGATTATCTTTTTGGCATATCTGTAGTTTCTAAAGTTTCAACAATAAGTATAAATCATGAGATGGGAATAAAAAGGTAAATAGTAGAACGGCTTACTGAAAACCAAAGCAAACACTGATCAACCCTATTAAATGGTAGTTACTAAAATGAAGAAACTAAAGATCTCTCTCTCACACACACACACACACACACACACACACACACACGCAATCCTATGTGATTTCAAATGATTTTCTGCCACCCTGTGGGGAATTCTACACACTGCAGAACTGAAATAAGCAAAAAGTAGACCTACGAAAAATCTGTAACTGAAGGTGAAATTTCTTACATGGCCCAAGATGCCTGACACTAATATGTGCTTACAACGTGCCAAACTCTATTCTACTATACATACTACTTTCTCTCACAAAAAAGTCTGTGTGCTAGGCATTCTTTTTTCCCCATTTTATAAGTGAAATGGTGAGTTTAACCATCTGCCAGCCAGCACAATGTGAATCTGGGCAGCGGCTCCAAAGACCCAAACTTGGGATAAATGATTTATATTTTTTAACTTTCCCATTCTTTCCAGGCCTGATCATACCCTACAAGAATTTCTGAAACAGCTGACTACAGGACAGAGTCAGTAGTTGAAACTTATTTTAATGTTCTCACAGCCTGGTGCGCAGACCCTTGAGAACTGGACAAGGAAAGCCCAGAAATTAAGATTCAGTAATTTTACAGCTGTTGATCTAACAATAATAAATTGTCTCAACTTGAACGTTGTATGCCCTTTTTTATTCCATTCTTATTTTTAATCAAGTATGATCCATTACTAATTGAAAACACTCTGACCCAGCTCAGTATCATCTCCTTTTTGTTGTTTGGTACCAGGGATCGAACTCGGGGCCTTGCACTTGAAAGGCAGGCGGCGGAACCACCGAGCTAAACCCCCGACCCTCTCTGATCTAACTCTTAAGACTCTTTTACGGGCTAAGTTCCCCAACATGAAGACTAGGGTTTTTTCCCTCTCCTCGTTTCGCCCATCTTGTCGTACAGTTATTGAAATCACTATTAAAGGGCCGGGGATTTAGCTCAGTGGTTTCGCCACTTGCTGCGCAAGCGCAAGGACCCGAGTTCGGTCCCTGGTACCAAAAAAAGAAAAAAGAAATCACTATTAAAGAAAAACAGAGAAGGGGAAAAAAAACAAAAAGAAAAACAGAGACCCAGCTTCGGGAGTTTGCGTGCCTGCGTCCTCGCCGGGCGGGAACGGCAAGGAAGCGCGTCACGCCTCAGAGATGCTGCCAATGAGGCGTCGGCGCCGCAGATACACCCAAAGGGACCCAGGGCGGCCGCGCGATACGCATGCGCCGGTGTCAGCCCGCCCGCCCGTCCGAGGGACGGGGAGACGCTGTGGGATCGCGAGGATGCCACGCCCCCGCTTCCGCCTGTTGCCGCGCCTGGGGGTGGTCGAGCGATCGTCACTTCCGCCGGGCAGCTCACTGCGTCCGGGTCAATAACTGTTGCTGCTGTCTACAGCTGCAGCTGGGGCTGTGGGCTGGTGTCTCCACTGCCGACCGAGGGGAGCAGGCTCCGCTCGGCGCTGTCTTCTCCGACCTGGCCGTCAGCCCCACGTCGCCGGCCTGGAGGGGCGAAGAGGACGAGGGGGCCGAGGCTTCCTCCGGGGTGAGTGCGGCCCGGGAGGGCTGGGCGAGGGCCTGGGGTGCCCATCCTGGGGGCGAGCCCGCGGGCTTCTCCGCCCGGGAGAGGAAGCCGGGGCTCATCCGCCGCGGGGGCGCCCTGGAACCCGCTCCGGAGGCGCTTCCCGCTTCCCGATCCACGCCCAGCGTGGGTCCCCGCCCTTGGCCCGGCTGTGTCTGCGTTTGCCGGCCTTGCCCCCTCCCTTCCGCCCGTGGTGGTTGTGCCAGGGACGGAGCCTGCCTTCCTTCTCCGCGACCCCGCCACCCTGGCCTGGGTGCCGCGACAGGCGCGCTGGTTCCGTGTTTATAACCAGCGTCAGTCCGGGTGCAGAACAAAGACACTTGGGCTTCTGGCGAGCCTCACACCCCGGGGGGATAAACACGGAAACAGAAGTCATCGCGGCTGTGGTAGACCTTCCACGTAAATAGAGGGTGTGTGCCCGAGTCCCTGCGCACTTTCAACAAACACCCATACCTGGCGAAGGTGGTTTGGATTTCCTGGGTGCATCTGTTGCTCCGGAGTGCTAGGAACTCAGTTACACCAGAAACCTTTGTATTAGGTCTTTATCACGTTGCTTTGAAACTTCTTTTGTCTGTCTGGCCTGAGACCTGTTAGAAGACACCGCTTTTGATGTGTTCATCAAAGTAGTCATGGTGCCTCCCGTGTAGCCAGTTGAATGAAGTGTGTGACTGCGTTTTAATGTATTGCCTTTTTTCATCGTCACCTCTTTTTTTCAGTTAGAATCTTTTTGTTGATGCTTGAGTTTTTTGGGTTTTTTTTTTTTTTGGTACCAGGGGATCGAACTCGGGTCCTTGCACTTGCGCAGCAGGCAGCGAAACCACTGAGCTAAATCCCCAGCCCTGATACTTGATTTCTTATTTTCAACTAGGCTTTCTCGTTTCTAATGTTTTATAGGAACTTCTGCAATTGCAATACAAATTCTGTAATTTGTGAATGGATAAGGTGGTTTTTTTTCAGTTGTTACCCGATTAAGTTACCCTGCAAACTAGTTGGAGTTTTTTTGGGGGGAGGGGTGGTTTGTTGTTGTTGTTTGTCACCTTGCACATTTACTCCTAGTTCTTGTCATTTTACATTTTCCTCTAAACTTAATCTTCTGTAGTGCAGCCCAATAGTGTTGGACTTAGATGGGAAGTACAGCAGACTGCCCTATGCAGGGGTGGAACTTGATCTAGATTATCATAAAGCAATACTTCTGTGGCCTTCAGGCATTACTGGACCCTTGAAGCTAAATGTAGCCAACTCTGGCATTGTAGACTTACTTTGTATAAATTTGCCAGTAAACTGGAGACAGTGTGGTGTATTAGAAACATTGCTGGTCTCACCCTGGGAAGTGGGATGTGGTGTTATTTGCCTCCTATGTAAGTAAAAATGGAGATAATAACACCAGTGCACCAGTGGTGGGGTTTTTTGTTTTGTTTTGCTTTTATTTTTGTTTTTATTTTTTTGAGGCAGGTTCTTGCTATATAGTTCAGGCTGGCCTCAAACTCACCGCAGACCTCCTGCCTCAGCCTCCCCCAAGTGCTGGGATTACAGGTGTGTTCCACCACATCCGGCAACACCTGTGTTTTATACCTCATAAACTTGTTGGATGAAATATATGAGATGTTGGGTATAAAAGTGGTCAGTAAATACAAAACACTGTTTGAAACAGTAGTTTTGTTCATTCTGTCTGGAATCTGTAGGAGTGATAAGGGAGGAAGGCATCTGAGAAACTACTTATATCTAGAAATGGTGAATTAACCTTGGCTGACAGTGGATTGAAAGATATCTTGTTAAATTTATATATAAAAAGCAGACCTGAGCGTGATGGCTCAGGCGTGTAATCCCCGTACTTAGGGGGCTGAGGTAGGAGGGTTGTCATGAGTTCAAGGCCACCCTGGGCTACATAGTGAGTTCAAGGCCAGCCTGGACTATATGGCAGGACCGGGTCTCAAAAAACCAAAATAAAAAGCAGAGTAAGTCATATTCTCAAGCTATAATTTTATATCGTAATTAATATAAAAAACTGTTTAACACCACATTAGAGATCAAGTGTTAGACTGTAATCATTTTAAAGATTTCAGATCATCTCCAGTGTGTTCTGTGTACTGATGATAAATGTAGCTTTTGCCAGATGTGGTGGTGCACACCAGTAATCCCAGCGCTCAAGAGGCTGAGGTAGGATTGCCTCAAGTTGGAGGCCAGCCTGGGCTACATCATGAGTTTAAGGGCCAGGCTGAACTACAAAGCAAGACCCTGTAAAATGTAGCTTTTGTAGGTGTCATAATTGTTCTGTGCTTATTTTCACAATTTTGAAGGAAATCAGCACTGTTCTAATTTTTCTTACATTTATGTTAATATTTTTGATACAGCATCTCATTTTATTCTTATAAACCTACATAATATCACCCTGAAAGGAGTAAAAACTAAGCCTGTACAGATCTGGGGGGAGTGTTTTATGATATTCATAAACATATAAACCTCATTAAAAGGTGAGTGTAAATAATTTTAGAATGAAATCTTTTCGTTTAAATGGGCAAGTGAAAATGTGCCTGTTTTCCTTCTGCCAACTGTAATTGATTTCAGCATAGGTGGTTATTACTTGCACCTAATTACCAGCAGTGTTAAATTGCATAATAGTAAAATTGCTGTGTAAAATTTTAAGCTATAGTTTAGAGGGTTCTAAATATCAGCTTAATACTTAATTTTTGCTTCTTTTGCTAAACTGCATGTAGAAATCCTTTCTTCTTCTCGATTGGATTTGCCGCACCTCCCCTCAGGCTGTCCCAGGAGGAATTCCATTATTTCCTTGATTTTCAACTTCTCTGAGGTTAGGGACTTTGGAATTCATCATGACCACCAGAGGTAACAGGCATAAGTAAGGGTTTCAATGCCGCCACTACCACCAATCTATTGAGAAATTACATTATTTCTGTTGCATTAGATAATTTTAACAAATAGCATAACAAAGTGTTATTTCCCCATTCTGTTTTTTTTGTAAATCTGTACCCAAAAAATGGGAAACAGCTACAGTTAACTTGTGAGTCAGCAATGTCCAAATTTCCTTCCAAGTGATTTGTGCTTATTAACTCCTTTCTTGTTTGTTTCCTGTTCTTACAGCTGCTTGGTGATAAAGTGCTTCCAAGAACAGTACTCTCAATTATTTAAATTGTTTTAATCTACTAGTATACGCACCCCCTCCCAAAGTTCTTGATGAAATGACCGAGTTAATCTGTTTATATTTTCTTCTACTATCTAAGGGTGTAATTATCCCTTAAACTAAGTATCTGTGACAGTACACTGAAGTGTATTAACATTACATGACTCAGTATATTATAGTAAAAGTTGGATAAGTAGGCTAAGAGGTGAAGGACTGGAGCTTTCAATATATAAAGGAGTAGTTTTCAGGTGATAAACTTGTTCAAGTTATAAAGCAGCTAAAAGGCATGATTTGGCTTCTGGAATTTTATAAGAGAAATATTTCCTCTTACAAATAAAGAATAGCTTTACCAACAGAAATTTCTATTGCATATAGGTAGGTTCCCAGAAAATATTTTCATTGTATTTTTTGAAGGTTAAAAACATAATCCAACTTATGTAGTTTAACAGCCAAAATAAATCCAAGGTGTTGTGCAAAGGCTTACTATCTAGCATTACACTCTGCAGTTAATTAATTTAGTAATTGCAGGCCTTGGGAATGCATTGGTTGCAACTTTAGGTCACTGCTTTTATTTTTGCAATGTTAACGTATTTTTCTGGTTACATGAGGTATTTGAATATCTTGATGCTTTTTCAGTACCCACTAGAAAGAGGAGATGATAAGGGAAGCTTCTCTGATTATTGAATCTACAGAAATGTACTTACTTTGGAATGGGTACCAAAGTCTTGAGAAAACTGAACATTGAGAAGTACAGTGAATTAAAATCTGAAAGAGACTGTCCATTTTCAACTGCTAGCCCTTAAGCATAATTCCAGAGTGTCATTACAGTATTACACACATATGTGATCTTGTTGACTATAATCCTGGCAAACAAGAATTGTTTGGTAAGTTAGGCACCCCCCCCAAGGGTTGCTGTCAAAAAGTCTATAATGTAACTAGTAAAGGTGTGTGTTAAAGTAGAGGTTATAAGAAACAGAAACTGCTTTAAAGTCCAGATTATTTTAAGTGTTTTTCATTAACTTTTCAAAATTTCCTGGCTCATTGTTTTCTCAGAGAATTAAAAATATCTTACTCTTATATAAATAAACTAGCTTTTCAAAGCAAATATTTTGCTTTGCGAAACAATCAGTATCTTCCATGTTTTTCTGTGCTAATGAGTGGCTCTGCAAAAACTTAAATCTTTTGGAAATGAAACCGTTCTCTGAATATAAGTAAACATTCAAGCTGAGTGGAGAGCCTTCAGGTCTCCATGAAGATGTGAATTTAGTTTACCATGTGAAATCTAGCACTTTAGCAAAATTCTCATTCCAATTTTGTTGTACTGGAACGTAATGCTTTTATTTATTTATTTATTTAGGTTCAACTTTCTTTGTCCTTCCGAGACTGTAATATCCTAGCAGATAGGACGACCATAAAACATGACCACAACGTTGTTTTGGAAAACCAGTTGATGTGAATATGAATGGCGGGTATCATTTTTTATAAGGGGGGGGGGTTACCGGGGATTGAACTCGGGTCCTTGTGCTTGCACAGCAGGCGGCGAAACCACTGAGCTAAATCCCCGGCCCTTTTATAAGTATTTTTTAAAGTTACACATACACAGTTTTTAGAAATCAAACAGTGAAGAAGCGCTTTCTATAAAAACAACAAGGACTTGCTGCAGTATAAGTCCTTGTCTTTCCTCTTCTCTGGTATCACCCACTTGTAACTTGTATGTTATTAGTGATGATTTATGGCTCTTAAATATGTGTTGCTATTATTTTTTAATAACTTCTGTTGACTAAATGAATTAAATACTCATTTATGCTGCTTGCCTCTATATTTGTCACTATTTTTGTGGTACTGTTTACCAGTTGATCTTAATGATCTCTTATATTTCTTCAACCAAAGGAAGTATCTCTAGACTCTTCTCTTTTGGAATAAGGATATTGCCACTTAACACCCTTCCTTGTAAGAACCAGAGTTAAAATTCGAATCATGAGTGTAAATGTTACTTACTAGTGTTCAGTTTCTAGAATAACCACTATCCAACAGATAGAATATTTAATTATGATACTGTAAGAGAGAATATATTTATTTTCATTTCTTACCCCAGCTAAATTTTTTGTGTAGCTCATAATATGAAATACATTTTAAATAACAGCCAGACTAAATGTATACATATGCACCTGAAGACAAATGTCTTCACTTAACAATATTCTTACGGGCTGGAGATTTAGCTCAGTGGTTCTGGCGCCTGCCTTGCAAGCACAAGGTCCCAAGTTCGATCCCACGTATCAAAAAAAAAAAAAATTAAGGAGAACAATAATCTTACTACAAACAGTACTCTACTATGTTATATGTACTTGGGCTATTTTCTGTTTTAATTCTTTAAAAAAAAAATTTCAACCCCATAAATTGGTTTCATGACCAGACCACTGAACTAAAGCAGTGGAGATACTAACTAAGGTGTAATATTACATCTTTTTAGCCAATAAAAAGTAAAGTGGAAGTTGCATTATTGTGGTCTTTCTTTCCTCACAGGCCATTGGCTCTCTGGATTATCAGGAGTTTGTAGTTGACATTGAATCCAGCTTGAGGATGGAAGGTGTGGAACTGAAAGAAGAATGGCAAGATGAAGATTTTCCAATGTGAGCAGTGCTTTTTAGTGAAAACAGATTTAGATCAAAACTTCAAAATTTCTTTATTGGGATGTCATTTAATCAATATTGGGCTTCTTTGTAAAATGTTCTAAAGTGATCATTTGATACTAGGAAATGAAAATTCCAGCAGTTAGAATGATTCTCTTGTATCTTACTTTCCAACCAAGTATGTATATAATCCATAGCTTTTCATATTTGTTTTGATCATTTAAATTTCACATTTTTTGTTGTACACAGTGTTTTAATATGGTATTTTAAAAATTAGGGTCTGAGAGGCTTCTACGAGGATCTTTTGTTGTTGTTGTTGTTGTTGTTGTTGTTGGTACCAGGGATTAAACTCGAAAGGCAGGCGCTGGAACCACTGAGTTAAATCCCCAGTCCATCTTTTGTTGTTTTTAAAAAGTTCTAAATTGTGTGGGGGTTTTTCCAAGAAAAAAAACTCAGTTAATAAATAAAGAAGGATCTTCTCTATCATCTGGCCAGCCACCTTAGCAGCTCTACAAAGGTCGCCTTATATATATATATTTTTTTAATTAATTTATTTATTTATTTTTTGGTACCGGGGATCGAACTCGGCTCCTTGCACTTGTGCAGCAGGTGGCAAAACCACTGAGGTAAATTCCCGGCCCTGGCTGTTCATATTCTAATTGCTAAATCTTCTGACTACGATCATGAAAATAGCATTTAAATATAAGGCAACCAGGGCCGGGCCAAAAAAAAAAAAAAAAGGAATATGAAGAGCTAATGGAGAGCTGTGTCATGTAGCACATGATGAGAGCAGTGTGGAAGTGCTGATCTCTTAGTTACAAGGAAAATTTAGTGCACCGTGCATCACATTACATTCATGCTTTGGAATTCTATGTTATAATTTATACTTTTTGCATCCTTTATAATTACATGAGTGCTATTGTACAAGAATTTATATCTGTTGGTCTTTGTTACTTATATATGTCAGCTCTGACAATCCAAAGTTTTTTCCTTTAGAAGTAACTTGTAAGTTATTAAAGCTTAGAAAACACTGCCTTATTCTAGTTTCCACATAATTGTTTCTGTAAGTTGTATTTTTCATAGGCCTTGAACTTCAGATACATATTTGAGTGAAAGAGCATGTTTGTGCCTTCTAGACCTTTACCAGAAGATGACAGTATTGAAGCGGACATCCTGGGTGTACCTGGCCCAGAGAACCAGCCCGGTAAGAACTTGGTGCTTTTGTTTTCAGAGCACTTTGTGCTAATTTTTAGCGTACACTATTTTTTGTTCCAAATCAAAGAACAACACAGCTTTGACTCCATCATAGGGAGCTGAAGAATAAATCAAACATTGAGGGAAGCATTTTTGGAGTGCCTGAGAAATTTTAACTTTTCCAAAACATACCCTTGATTTTTGGAAATTTATACGGGAAATGGGAGTAGATCCTTTTTAGTAGTAAGATGTGATTATAAAGTCAGCCTCTGTTTAAAAAAAACATTGGTACCTCTGATCTCATGTCAACATCATACAGCTGTAGTGATCAAAATCCAAATTTTATAAACTAATGCAGTGGGGCCATCGTGGCTTTCCTCACAATAGCCTATCTTGTGTTCTCCAGGGCATGATTTCATCTTGTTTTTTCCTCTTTTACTTGGCCCAAGCTTGCTCTGCAGAGCCAGTTTCTTCCTCCCTCTTCACTTTCGCTTTCTCAAATAAACTTTGCTACCATTTTTTGCGTGTTTCATCCAATTCTTTGTTTGAGAGAAGAACCTGGAATCCAACTCCAGGAGGAGATGCAGGCACCACCAAACCCAGTAACATTTATTTGGCAAGCCACTTTTAGAAGGAACTATCCGATAACATTATTTGGCGTAGCCAGCTGGGAGACCAGGTTTTTCTTCAACCCAGCCAGTGAGCCACAGCACCCCAAGGTAGTTGGAGAGCACATAATACCAAGTAGGTAGGATCTACAGCCCCTTCCACCTTGAAGAAGCTATAGAAGACAAACCTCCATTCCCTCAGCACCCCATGAAGAATTATGGGGATGTGTCTCTCAGGTAGAAATGAGACAGCAGATTAGGGGTGGCAAAGCTGGCTAGAGAAGTAGGAGGTGACCTGTTAATTGTAAGATCCTGGAACACATGCACAGAACAGTTCCTAAAGCCCTGCATGTGGACTTTTTGAGAAAATTCAAGCAGGTTTTTAATAAGATGGCCTAGACCTGGCTTCAGCCTGAGATGTGAGATTCCAGCACCGTCTCCCAGTACCCGTATATAGAAGCTCTCATGGGTTTTCTCAAGATTTGGACAGCATGAAAGTACACACACACCATGAAGAGCTCGCTGTCATGGCTTTCCTTATGACAGCCCATCCTTTGTTCTCCAGGGTGTACTTTTATCTTGCTTTTTCCTCTTATTCACCCCAAGCTTGCTCTGCAGTGCCGGTTTCTCTTTCACTTTTGTTTTTTCAAATAATCTTTGCTACCATTTTTTTTTTTAAACACTTTGAAATTTTGTTTCCCACTTTTCTCAAATAGAATGACTGAAGTGTTTCTCTTATTCATCTTGAGCATCTAAAGCAGTGGTGGCATACCTGGGGCACGCGTACCACAGCAGACATGCAGAGACCTCTCTGTTGGCGCACCAGCCAAGTTGCCCCAGCATCACCCCAACAGCTGAGCATTGGATAACCGCACGTGGGGGCCATGTCCATGCTTGGAAAGCAGTAGCAGCACCAGGCAATGACATCATGAACAGTTTGGGCACTTGATCTCTAAAAGGTTTGCCATGACTGATCTAAAGCATTCCTTATAATAAATTTTGTCTTTGTTTCCTAATTCCAGACTCACCAGAAGTTAATGGAAATAAAGTGAGAAAGAAATTAATGGCTGCAGACCTTAGCCTGACACTGGATCCTAGCGATGGTTCTGTGTTGTCAGATGACTTGGATGAAAGTGGGGAGATCGACTTAGATGGCTTGGACACCCCATCGGAGAACAGTAACGAGTTTGAGTGGGAAGGTAACTGCTCCACTGTTCTTACCTGACCTTTGTTAGTGAATGTTCATCTTTGTATCCGTACATGCTTTTACAATGGCATTCTCCTTAGGAGAATGAGGATAATTGGTAAACCTGAAAACTTGTTAATGAAGCCTGCTAAAATCAGTGTTTTAAAATACTTTGTTTAAAATGTTATTCTTGAAAAGTTCATAGATTTGTGTTACTAAGATGCAAAATTCTACAAACACTTGAATATTCTCTGCTTTTCCAAAGTTTTTTAGTGGTTTTTTGTTTTTTAACAATGGAATAAAGTTATGTTTTCTCCTTAAGTTCCTTAAAAAATACTGGCTGGTAATTATGACTTGTTTTTTTTTCAATTGGTGAAATAAGTAGAAAACTTTTCAGCAGATATAACATAGGAAATGTGCTAAAAGTAGTTAAGGATTTGCAGAGAGGGAGTTCAGAAGAAGTTTTGGGAATGATTTTTAAGTACATGTGCCTAATAGTGCTCTACCTTGTGAAATTGCCTACTTGAATTAATGTATACACTTAGCCTACATACTTTATATTTATTTTAATTTGGAATTCAAAGGAACTGGCATGTATTTGGCTTTGCATGCTTTCTTGAATTTACATCATTGCTGTCTACAATATCTTTATACAGTTGTTAATTTTATATATATACACACACACACACACACACACACACCATCTTTAAAATGATCTTTACTTCAAATGCATGTGTAGCTTTAGGTATTTTATCTGCAGTGAAGAGTGGTATGTTATATCTTTTGTTCCTTTTTTACTTCCCTGTTTTGCTGATTCAGTAAGCAGTCCAGTAATAAGCAATATTTTATAAAGATACTGAAATAGTTTTCTGCCTATGTGTTTTGTCTCTCTCTTTAATGCTGCTGTAGTCATTTCCTGGAAGGATATTTTCCGTTAACAGCTTTGTCTTGGAAACAACTAACATGCAGTAGGTTCCCCTTCCCCCATCTTTTGGTAAGGACTATGATACTAAAATTTTGAAAATCATTACTTCATTAAAAATTAACTAAATTGCAATCTTGAAACATAGATTACACCTAATCATTGGTGCTTATTCTTTGGCTAATATTGATTTAAATAGACTTTGCATGTATTCTTGAGAATATACATACATTTCTGCTTCATAAAACTGATCACATGAAAAATGAGCACTGAGCTGTTAACCACTTTCTATCTGGTATTTCAGTGTTGGACGTTTATGTTCTCAAAACAGTTGGCACTCAGATAGTTACCTGAAGTAACCTGTAGTAGTAACTGTCATGGACAGTGATGTCGTACGTGCAATCTAGAAAGCCACTGTAGGACCACCATTGTTAGACTGTGATGGCTTTACAAATAATCTCTGAATTTTTGGAAATAAATTACCCTGGGATTAGATGCTTTGTTGAACTGGGCAATAAAGGAAATTTCTAGAGACTGACTTCCAAAGACATAAAATGGCCTTATATTAAGACCAAGCCTTTTCTCTTATTATGAAAGAGATATTTCAAATTCTACAAATGACATAATGAAAATTCTCTAAATAGCCAGACATGCTGGCATGTTTCTGCAGTCCCAGCTGCTTGGGATCCCTTGAGCTGAGGAGTTTGAGGCCAGCCTGGGCAACATAGTGTGACCCTTCCTCAAAAAAATAGAAAAAGAAAAAACAAAAAACATAATCTAGATAGTAAAGTGGTTAACACGTAATTTGATTTTTATTGTATAACAATTTGTGATTCAAAAACCTTTTATTTTGACAGATGATCTTCCAAAACCCAAAACTACTGAAATCATTAGGAAAGGCTCTATTACTGAGTACACTGCAGCAGAGGAGCAAGAAGATGGGCGACGCTGGCGCATGTTCAGGATTGGGGAACAAGACCACCGGGTTGATATGAAGGCAATCGAACCCTATAAAAAAGTCATCAGCCACGGAGGTAAGAATGACTAAAGATTGTTCAGATTTTTTTAATGTACCATCAAAAATCTAGATTTTAGAAAATATCCTTAGAGATGTTAACATAATTTTGAAAGAACAGTAAACATGTCATTTTAGGGACATAAGTTTGAGGTAAAGAGAATAAAACCTATATTTAAAAATTGTTGGGCTGGGGATTTAGCTCAGTGGTTTTGCTGCCTGCTGTGCAAGCACAAGGACCCGAGTTCGATCCCCAGTGCCAAAAAAAAAAAATTGTTAATATATGCACAAAGCAAATTCAGAAGTATAAATCAGTGCAGAGAAAAATGTCTCCTCCCACACCCTAAGCTGAGAGTTTACTTTCTCCCCTTTGTGTGCATTTATAGTTTATATACAATGAACTACTCTGATCTAAAGTGTGTAGTTCATCATATTTTTAGAATTCATGCATATTGTTGAATTTATTCATAGTTTATTTCTTTTTATCGACGAATAGTATTCCATTCCATTTGCCATATCCATTCTCCTTTTGATGGGCATGTGAGTTGTTTCCAGTTTAGACTATCATGATAAAACTTCTATGAACATTCTTACACAAGTCTTTTCTTAAATATTAGTGAAACTTGGACTTTTTAAACTGTAATGCTTGATTAAAACTCTGAACGAATAAGTCATTTAGCTTTAGTAAAAAAAACTTAATTCCACATTTTATGGAGCACCCACTTTGCAAATTTGTGGGATACACAAAAATAACAGTTTAGGTCCTTCCCTTAGGGAATTTGTAAGTCAAATAGGAAAACCATGGAAGTACAAATCATAAGTCCTGTTAATCCACCTGTACCATATATAGATGCTTACCTAGGCACTGTGTAAATAGTGCCCGAATGTTAGTGGTAGTCAGAATACAGCTTGCCTTGTAGAACGTGTGCTGTTGCCTTGAATCCTCCTAACTGGACAGAGGGGCACAGAGGTCGAGGAGCTTGCTTTTTTTCTCACTTTCACTTCATTTACTCTCTGCCAGTTGCATTCTCTTGCTTATTTCTACAGTCTTCATTCACCTGAAGGCAATCGCTGGAATATTGACAGTTACATTCTTCTGCCTAATTTAATCTTATTTGGGTGAAGAAAGCAGGATAATCTGGTCCGGGAAGCCCACAGACACATATTAATTCATCTGGTTCACAGAACTGAAGTTGTGAGGCCTGCCTTATGCTTTAACCCTAATCTCTTTGTGAAGTAGCACTTTATTTTTCTTATTGGAAAATAATTCGGGCATCTTATCCTGTTGGATTATCGTACTTAGTATGTTTTGTGACTGAGGAATTAAGAAAGTTAGCTAAGGGCCGGGAATATGGCTCAGTGGCACCATGCCTGCCTGGCAAGTGCAAGGGCTTGAATTCAGTCCCCGGTACTGGAAAGAAAAGAAAGTGAAGATTTGATTGTTCTTGATATATTCAGATTCTTCATGTTTATAAACAATAAACATACACATAATAAAACATACACATGGGCCGGGGATTTAGCTCAGTGGTTTCACCGCCTGTTGTGCAAGCGCAAGGACCCAAGTTCAATCCCCAGTACTAAAAAAAAATACACGTATTAGTTTTTTTCACCAATAATTACATCAGAGATGTGATCTAGATTTTAATATCCTAAATTCTACAAAATGTTAGGCATTGTTGAATATAAAAACCATCTTTTAAAAAGCACCCACTTTAACCATAAATTGCCTAAGAATTTTATTTTACATATGTGTTGTTTCTACTTGGATTATATCACTGTATTTGTCTAGTTGCTAAAATATGGCCAGCTTTGTAACTATACAAATTTAAGTTTTCTATCAGCCATATAGAGTATCTTCATAATCATGCTAATGATTTGATCTTCGATTTCTTTTTCAGGATATTATGGGGATGGATTAAATGCCATTGTTGTGTTCGCTGTCTGTTTTATGCCTGAGAGTGGTCAGCCCAACTATAGATACCTGATGGACAATCTCTTTAAGTAAGTATATCTTAACAAAAATGTTTGGGGGCTAGGGATTTAGCTCAGTGGTTCCGGCGCCTGCCTCACAAGCACAAGGTCCCGAGTTCGTACCAAAAAAAAAAAATGTTTGGACAGAATTCTAAGATAATTATATTTCTACTTTAAGGAAGTGAAAGTAAGCTGGTATAAAAATCACAAATAATCTCAGTTCTGAATTCTTGTTCTTTAGCATTATGAAACTATAGTTTTCCAACTCAACAGAAAAATTGGCAATTTAAAATTAGAACATTTATCTCAGGTTGTCTGTTCCAACTTCATTATTTTACATTTACAGATATTAAGTATAAAGAAGTAACTTTCATCTCAGTCAAGTGACTAAATTACATTTACCCCTAGAAGCCCAATGTAATGACCTGATGTAGTTCTTTTGTTTCCACAGAATCATTCTGTTTCTCTGGATACTACAGTTTCTGTTTTTTTGTTTTTTGTTTTTTTTGGTACCAGGGATTGAACTCGGGTCCTTGCACTTGCGCAGCAGGCGGCGAAACCACTGAGCCAAATCCCCGGCCCAGTTTTTGTTTTTGTTTTTGTACTGGGGATCGAACTCAGGTCCTTGCACTTGAGAGGCAGGTGGCGGAACCACTGAGCTAAATCACCAGCCCAACAGTTTTTAAAATCCTTATTGAGAGGGCTGGGGATTTAACTCAGTGGTTCTGCTGCCTGCTACACAAGCGCAAGGACCAGAGTTTGATCCCCAGTACCAAAAAAAAAACAAGAAAAATCCTTATTGAGGACAATTTTAACTTACACAGAAGTAAAGATAAGTATATCAGATAATCCATCTGTCACCCACTTCAACAGTAGCCAGTTTATACTTCATTCCCACTTCTTTCCCTGCTGTATAATTTTGAAACAATTCCTAGACATTATGTCATTTAATCTATAAACATTTCAATATGTACCTCAAAGAAATAACTCTTAAAATCATCTATCCAATGTAGCTTTAAATTTTTAATTATCGGTCTCATTGTGGAGGAAAGAAAGGAATTGTGTAGTTTGGAAAGTCTAGTTCAGTTCTACACACAGTGGTATTTAAGACTTAAACTTGTTTTTACAGGTATGTTATTGGCACTTTGGAACTGTTAGTAGCAGAAAACTACATGATAGTTTATTTAAATGGTGCAACAACTCGAAGAAAAATGCCCAGTCTGGGATGGCTCAGGAAATGCTATCAGCAAATTGATAGAAGGTAATGTAAATACAGGTTGAAAACTAGACTGAATGATTTTTACAATGTCTTTATTAGATTAAATTTTATTTTCTACTGCCACTTAAAGATACCATTTTGACTTCCTAATTACGTTTCTTTTTTCTTTTTTGGTACCAGGGATTGAACTTGGGTCCTTGCACTTGCAAGGCAGGTGGCAGAACCACTGAGCTAAATCCCCGGCCCCCTAATTACATTTCTTAATTTTATGAGTTTCTGTTCTCTAAAGGCAGTGTTTTAGAATGTTATGAACAAAATTAATTTTTGATCTGTCTTATAAAGAATGACTCATTCTTCAAAACAAACTTAGAAGATAGTTCTTTATTTTCCTCATTTATATCATTTGGAACACTTTCCTACAATTTGTATCTTAGGAAAGGATGGGGAACATTGCACATTTTCTATGAGTTTTGCCTAATTTGTAGTGCTTAGCATATTTTATGTTCCTTAAAGATACTAGTTAAGCTATAATTTTCCTCAGCACAAATCTTTGAAATGTATTCTCATCGGAATTAGATAGCTATGCTAATAGAAGGAACTTTAATCTTCCAACTTGTTTGATTTTGCCATGGCTAATTCAAAATAGTTTAATCAACTCAGCCCCATTAGTAGTTTCTTCATCATACCTATTCTGGACATTAGCTAGCTCTAGTGATTGGGGGGAAAAGATGAGTGAGTGTGTGTGTAGATCCATAGTAGTCATTTTATTTATATGTGAAATATGTATGATATATAACTGTATTTGGGTTTTGTTTTTTTGGTTTTGTTTGTTTGTTTTTGTACCAGGGATCGAACTTGGGTCCTTGTGCATGCGAGGCAAGTGGTAGAACCACTGAGCTAAATCCCCGGCCTTGGGTTTTTTTTTAAGGAGGGGACTAGGATAATGCTTTTCATTTTTAATCAAAATTTTAAAAGTTTTTTTTGTTTTGTTTTAGTTTTTAGGGTTTTTTTTGAAACGGCCTCACTGTGTAGTTCAGGCTGGCCATGAACTCAGTATGTAGCCCAGGCTGGCCTCGAACTTGTGGCAATCATCCTGCCTCAGCCTCCAGATTGGTGGGATTATGGGGATGTGCCACCACACCCAGCTAAAGTTCTTAAGAAGGGGTGTTAGATCTGATTTATGTTGTCTAGTTTGGCCATCTCTGCTCCTGCCTTTCTGCCTGGATGGTGCCTTTCATGATGTTGAAGAAATTAGTACCAATTTCTCCATAGTCTTGAAAAGTGAAAATAGTTTACTTCTGTATTGTGCTTTTCCCTAATTGACACTGAGCTGGGAGACATTTGATAAGGCTGGCTGTAGTATAGATGTGAATTTAGCCAAAGGAAGCGCAGTTGATTTTAGAGCAGTAGGAGGCACCGTCAGAACTCAGAAATGCATTTCCTTGTCTTCAGGAGTATCATGCCTAAGTGGGAACTTCTGGTGACATTTTTCGGTTATTTTGTATAAACCTGCACATAACTTTTTATGTCTTAATTTCTAGCATTAGAATTTGTGGTCATTTATAAATTTTCTTTTCTTTAACTCTAGGTTACGGAAAAACCTGAAATCTCTAATCATTGTACATCCCTCTTGGTTTATCAGAACACTTCTGGCTGTTACAAGACCATTTATTAGGTAATTTCCTGAAAGCCCTTGACTTAAAAAAATATTTTTTTCCTTGTATGAATTTCTTATCGGTACTATGAGTCAGGAATGTTGAAGCAATTGTCTATTTTCTTCCACAGCTCAAAATTCAGCCAAAAAATTAGATACGTCTTTAATTTGGCAGAACTAGCAGAACTTGTTCCCATGGAGTATGTTGCCATACCAGAATGCATCAAACAGTATGTTTTATTTTATTTCTTTAATTATATTGTGTTAACTCTTTTTATTTTGATGTGCAAGAGGTAATAGTTTTCAATATTCACTCTTTCTCACTTCATACGGTATTTGTAACAGCTTTCAAAGATCGGAAGAAGTCTTTAATCCCACATCTTCCCTATAAGTCACGATTTTCTTCAGACTGTTGTTTTCTTCAGATTATCAATTGAAGAACTAGGAGAAACGATTTCTGGTTATATGATTTCATTTCATACTTTTAAAGGCTGGCGGTTATAGTCAGATGATTTTCTGATTGGTCAGTACTAAAGGACATTCTCAACTCGAACATGTTGCTCTCCCAATTTGAGTAAACTCATCATGGCATTGAAAAATGATGTTGCCAGAGAAATAAACTTTGTTTAAATCAGCCCAATCCTAGTATTCCAATGACTGGAATTTGTTCTGTTTACCAAATTCACTTCCTTCCATCTAACTTCGTAAAAGACTTGTTATAAAGCTATTAACATAATTACCCGAGCCTCACATTGCTATTAGTAGGAAAGTTTGTTGTGTAATCTAAGGTTTTAGACCATTCAGTGTGTCTGTGCCAGATTTATTAAGTCAATTTTTACTTTTTACATAGTATGTTAAATATTTTTGATTTTGCATATAGACTAATGTTTATTCTTAGTGCCTTTCTTTAGTTTTTGTTTATCTCATGTATTTACTGAAAAAACTCTTCCCTACCAAGGTATGAAGAAGAAAAGTTTAAAAAGAAACAAAAAAGGTATATGCACACCTTGACTGGGTTGCATCTAGACTAGTCCATTCGCATTGCACAAACTAACTCTTCCTTACTGGTTGGTTAGCGTGTAGACAAAGATGAGAGCATGTGTAAATATAAACATATCCCAGCATCCAAATGCAGGGTGAACCCAAAACTTCTGATGCTGAGTATGACCTGGAGTCACCCTGTTTTAATACTGTATGTAATGTCAGGTAGGAATTAAAGCCCACCTGTTTCCTTTCTGAGTGTCTGAATACTGATGGTGAAACTAGAGAAGTTACTAAAAATACCTTTTGAAATACCAAATGCATTTAAGATTGTTTCACCATTTTAACTCCCTAACTTGTACTTTTGAAATGCTTATTTTTTTAAGGAATCAATTTCCTTCTTGGGGTTGATGATTATATTTGCAATGCATATATTCTTTGGCTAACCAACATTGATTTCCTTGTATGCTTAAATTAGCTTGCTAACCAGCCAGATTCTACATGTGGTAAAATACCTAAAAGTTCAATGTACCATTTAACACTTAAACACTCTGCTTCCCCTTTTAAATTTAATTTTGAACACTTCTGCTTTGAGCATAACTGTATCTTGATAGAGAACATGGAAGGCAAGGGTATGAGGTAGTTATCATTTTATGTAGTAAATTAGAAAAGTAGGATTTATATCTACTTTGTTAATAAATATTTAAAATACCGACAAATCAGCAAAATATAGTTAATACAGTATTTCTTAAGAATTAAGAGATTTCTGTGTATTCTTTTGGCCATCAAAGGTCAACTGTAGCTGTTATTGGAACATCTTAATATTGAACACAGTTCTGTTGGTGAGTGAGAATTCAGTTGAGCACATGACAGAATCATAGCTTTGCATTTCTATGTGACACTTTATAATTTAACCAGTACTAACAAAGAAAGGTAACAATGATTTTAGATCATACAGATGTCTCATTCCTTTCTAGCTATCCTTTTGCCAGACAAATCACTGAAATTTAAAATATAATCTAGAATTTACTGCTGTTTTGAAGCCAGCTACTTCTTGCATTTCAAAATGAGTTGCATTTCAAAATGTTGATAGAAATGTGCTATATGTCTTTTTAAGTTCTTAGTATTCAATCAACTGTCAAAAATACTTAGGCATTAGGAAAAAAGTACAACTCGTACTTTTATTTCAGTGCATTATGTGAAAACTATCACTTATTTTATCTTGATTTTTGTTTTTCAAGTCCTTGTCAGTCTGAGAGTGATAAAATTTAATTTTTTTCAATAAAATTTAAATATAGAAACACTTTTAAAACCAAACTCTCAAGCACCTAGGTGTGGGAGCTTATTTAAGGTGATATCTCCATGAGGCGCACCGGGGTTGAGGAGGATAGGACACCATAGGTGTTGAAGTATACAGTTGAGTTGTTGGTGATGTTTCACACAGCTCAGTGCAAGTGTGGCCGGGTAAATACCAATTTAAATATTTCAACAGAGTTTAAAAATAATTATGATATCAGAACATTCAGTACATACGAGTATTTCAGATTTGAAAAAATTAGACATGTATTGCATGCCTTACCAGGAAATATGTACCTTTCAAATATTTGATACCACTATAAAGAACAATTTAAGATGTTTACCTGGCTTTATAACAGGCTGGGACTTTTACTTCTGATTCACTAATATTTAGGTGATCAAGTGATGGATCGTAGTAATGGCTACTGATGATCACAGTAGTGGAAACAAGTGGAAAAAGTATCTTCTTACATTGTACCAGATTGTTTTTGTGGTTTTATTTTGTTTTATTTTTTTGGTATTAGGGATTGAGCCCAAGGCCTTTGCACTGAGCTCTATCCCCAACCCTTTTTATTTTTTGTTTTGAGACAAGTTCCCCCTAAGTACCCCAGTCTGGGCACAAACTTGGGATCCTTCTGTCTCAGCCTCCCAGAGTCCTATGATTACAAACATGCACCCTCAGTCCTGGCCATATCAGATTGTTTTAACCATTCCCACACATCATTTATTCACACCACTACAAATATATTACTAGACTATTGTATGTTGTCTTTGAAGAGTTTTCTATAATTATTGTGGTAATTATCTAATTCTTCTAATCCCCAAATGGATACACTCTCTCTCCAACCGACCACTAATCCAGTGAGATTTTTTTAATGCGCACTTGGATATTTCTGAATGTTAAATTTTCATGGCTTCTTACTACTTACCAAAATTAATGAAAGATATTCACAAAGTGGACCAATAAATTTTGGAGAATAGCTAGATTTCTATAAATATCCATTTTTATCGCTGGATTTAAAAAATATTAATTGATCAGTTGGTGGCTTTAATGACAGTTTGGTATTTCATTTAACAAAATCATTTCAGAGGGAGTTGTTTTCCCTGTTGCCATTCTCTTAGCTCTTGGATCCTTGCTGCAGCCAAGCTCCTTGTCATGAACTTTTAAGAAAGTTTATGTATAATTGTGTTTGTTTGCATTTTGTAGTCTTTAAAGAAACACCAGTCACATTTCTTGCCAGTCCTCCTGCCTTAAAATTCTGTTACCTCTTTTGGTTGGGAAAAATAATATTTGGTAATCTTCTTACTGTGTCTGCTTCTTTGCAAAGCTTTGTTTTTTAATAGAATACTATTCTATGCTGAAAGTAGTCACTTTTTAGAAAGACAATTGTTCAGTTGCTGGTATCTTACTATCTATATTTTTCATTAAACAGAGTTGATCAAGAGCTTAATGGAAAACAAGATGAACCAAAAAATGAGCAGTAAGTTTGGCCTCAAGTTAAACAAGACTGAAGAATGTGCTGATGAAGCCGTCTTCTGTTTTACATTCTCGATGCATTTCTTGGCTTGTATTTTTCTGTGATGTTACAAAATCGATTTGACTTTTTAATGGACTTTTGTACAAGGGACTGTTCACTGCTGTTTTGGTTTTTTAAATCTCTTGAATTTAGCTCTTCAGTGGCTACTTACATTGTACTCACTTTATATTTTCTATTGCTAAATAGCAGAGAACTACACTTTATATAAACAATTTTTGCATTTGTTTGTTGAGTAATGCATCTTCAGTAAAATATTTATATGCATAAATGGCAAAGGAAAGAAATAATATATATTTTTATGTTTTTGAACAATATTTTTTAATGTATACCTATCTTGTGGAAGAATATTCAGGTAAATAAGACCATGATTTTGTAAAGTGCATGTTAGAATTTTTTTTTTGTAAATGGTGGAATACATTTCCTGGGTAACTTAAAAAATTAAGTTGCTATGCTCTAAGGCAAAAGACAGTTAAACTGATCCTCATGAATACCCAAAGATACTGTACATAATCTTAAATAAGTTAGTACCATCCCAAGCTCACTTGATGTGTATAGTTCTTTAACTCAAAAGTGCAAATACAAGTGTATACCACACTTTCTCCTTTTTTAAAACAAGTCAAAAAGCCATTTTTCAGAACTAGAGAATTCTAGAGGCTAGAAATTAGGATCTGTATGTATGTATATTTGGGACATTTTATCTTCTGGCCCAAAGTCAGAACTGTTATAAAAATCATGGATTTGTTCACTAATGTGAAATAAGCCGTGTATCCAGGGTATTGCCCCCCTGAATGCTTGAGTACCATGTAGTGCTGCAGAGAATGTGATGAGTTTTCACTGTCACTCTTCTGTAGAACACAGGGGCTGCTTTTAAAATTATTCTCACTGTGGGCACTTTACCAAAATACTTCCATGTCAGTTATTTGAACTCAGTGGTAGTTTGGCCTAGTAAGATATTGTATGTTTTCAAATTTGTTGAATAGTGTTTGGCAGTTCTGTAAATTAGATTAACTTTGTAGGTCTTTTGAGTTGTTTTGTTTTGAGTATATGAAGTGATTTATTGATACTGGTTAAGATCCATTATATACAAGTAGAAACTGTAAATTGTACAAAGAACTATTACAAATATTGATAAAGACAGTTCTATAGACAAAACAACTAGAAAAGTTTTGACAGACAAAGTAGAACAAAAATTGTTCTATCAGATTTCAAGCTTACTAAAGTTTTGCTAGGCAAACTTTAGATTGAAAATATGTGGAATGGGTTTATATAGTTTAAAACTTAGGTATAATGTAAAAATGATTTTCTCCTCTCATGGCAAATGGGAGAGGAACCAAGACAACTTTGTACCCCAAATCTATACAGTTTGAAAAATATATGTCTAGGAACAAAGAAAATTAAGAATGTAAGGAATGTGCTATCGTTTGGATCTGAAATATGCCCCCAAAGTCTCATGTGTTTGGGAAGAGACTGTATCATGGGGTGGTGTACTCATTGGAGGATTGGTCTACAATGGGTTCATAGCTGACCTGCTGTTAGGAAGTGGGGTCTGGCTGGAGGAGATGGTCACTGGGAACATGACCTGGAAGGGCTTATTTTTCTCCCTGGCTCTTCGCTCTCCAATTCCAGGGCACCATGATTTAATTGTCTTTCCTCTACTATGCTCCATTGTCATGTCATTTCTGCTTTTGAGCTGACCATGATCGCGGACTGTAAAATAAGCCTCCCCTCCTTTAAGTTATGGGTGTTGGGTATCATCCCAGCAACAAAGAAAGGGACTAAGATGTCGTACTTTTCATGAAATGCAAACTGAGTCAGTTTTAAAACTTAAAAATTGTGCAGTCAGAAATAAGCTGTTTTCTTTAGGGCACAACTGTACCTTCATTGGCTTTATACCTGAGCACCAAAGCTGAAGTTTTAAATGCCATCCTGAAAAGGCTATTCTGAAAACGATCAGAAAAGAAAATTACCCTACTATCATTGACAAAATTAGGCACCAAGAAGGAGCTTATCTCCTTAAAATGCAACATCAACAACAGAGATGATTTAATTAAGCAGCTGAGATATTTCCTTGTGAACACAACAAAGGGAATCCACATAAGATGATCCTCCGTAAAGTCCTTTGTCTTCCACCAGGAACTGTTGAAAAACCATTTCTGGCTGTTCTCTCTGCTTTACTATTGTGAGCTTCATTGAATATGGCTTCTTATGTTGGATAATATTCATTATCATTCTGAGTTGTTGAGAGTGTGTATTTCCCACCTCAGGCAGCAGTGTCATATCTGTGTTGATATGTGCAAAAGATGAAACATTAGGGCTAGGGATTTAGCTCGGTGCTGCCGCCTGCCGTGCAAGTGTAAGGACCTGAGTCTGATCCCCGGTACCAAAAAAAACCAAGAAAGATGGAACATTAAATATCCCTTGGATCAATTCTGGTGGGCTACTTACTTCCAACCACAGGAACATGTTTAGATCATTAGCCAGAAGGAATATTCCTTCCTCTGAAAGTCGACACTCGGAGCAACGAACAGCAGCAGGTAACATTGTACTCTTCACATCTAATGTGTGTATATGCAGGAGCTGTGGGTAGAAGAAAAGCTGCGAGTCAGCACACACATGGTCATGACCAGCTGTCTGTGGTACGCCTGCTCGTCTGTGGAGATCTCAGGTCTACTAAGCACACAGTTTTTTAACAAACAATTCATGTACACTGGAAATATTTTCATGGAATCTGGGAGAATAAGCTGGCTCACGGCAGATGGATTTGCGCAGTTTTTTTGGCAACATGCCAACATATGGGCAGTCCGATTAACTAAAATTTCCCAGATGACCTTCAAAGGCTGGTGTAAAACTGATTTAAAGGCTGACTTGGCAAAGAAGTTGATAAGGGGATCTGTCTCACAGCTCTTGTAAAGATCAGCTAACTCGGAGCTGCAGTTTAAGCCAAGATTGTGAATTCGAAGTCGTCTTTGGCCACCAGTGGTTGTGTAAAGCACAGCACACTGGATTAGGGCTCCACTGTCTTCATTCAGCTTGTCATGCTTGAACTCCACGGTCACTGCCTTGTCACAATCAATGGCAGCCATTTCCACATCAGTGGTGGTGTTCATAAAAGCTCCACCAAAGAAATCAGTGGCTCTGAAGCCTGTGCTGGTATGAACTCTCATAATAGCATCAAAGTGTATTTTCTTTTCAGTGTCATTTCTGAGGTCATTCAAAAATTGTTGGCTATCCAGATGCATCTGGAAATTGTAGTATTTGTAAAGAGTTCCTCCAGTGAGCTGAGGGACAAGACCCACAGATGCCATGTCCACGTACTGACTGGGGAAGAGGAAGGCAGTCACTGAGCAGTCGTGGGCCACACAGTCCTTGGCCAGAGAGTCATAGACACTGGTTTGGGGCTGGAAAAGTATCTTCTCTTTGTCTGTATTAAGTAGCTTTTTGTCATCTGTTTTTGAGCTTCACTGGTGCTTCAGCAGTTGGCAAGGAGGAATGAAAGATGTACAGCTTCCCTGGACATTCTGCTGCCTTTAATGCTTCTGTGCCAGCCTGGATGACAGGAGCAAAGACAGTTTCATTTTCATTAGAGTCTGCAAATATCTCTGGAATCTGGTCCGATAAATTGTGAATCACAGACTGGGATTCTTGAAAGTTGACAAAGAACCCATCCAGCAATGGGACAAAGACTTCCCCCAACATCAGTCACCACCATCATCTCAGGCCGGGCCAGATTACTCTTCACATTGAAGAAATGGACAACTTTGTTGTATGTGATAAAACCAACTCAGATTGCAGATGTCTCTTCTTGCTCTTCCTTTGGAAGTTTTTCCAGTAAAGTCTTCAGTTCTTCACATATGAGCTTGACAAGTCCATTCTTCATGTTACTATATGAAACATCAATCATGAAGATAAAGGCTGGTGGGTTGGGAGGCTTATTTTTTCTGCAGTAATCCAAAGTAGCAACAAATTCATATGATCCTAGAGATAACTCAGGCTTCTCATAGTGGTCCAGTCTTCTTCCAGTGTGGTCCAGATGTTGGAAGTAGAATGGTGGAACATCATTCACACAGTTGCAAAACCCACACTGATACCGCCTTCCTCCCTTGATGAACTGCATGAACAGGCACATGTAGGCCTTGCACCTGTTACACCTGACTGGTCCATTCTCTCCATGATTTACCAAGTAAAGTGGAGTCTCATTTGAAGGGATTGTGGCAGAGGGTTTGATGACAGCAGCTAGTGGAATCTGAGCCTGCTTAGCCATATCTGATGTGCACGGGAAACAATACATAGTGCAGCGGATGTATCAAGGGCTAGCATTGCCTTGGTCTTGTACTACACAGTCGGTAGTGACCAGGGGAGGCACCTGGCCTCTAGTGTTGGTGGAATAAACTTGTCCCCCTCTTGTAGTGCTGTCATTCTCGATCACCTGGATAGGGCTGGGGATGGAGTCAGGATCCAGCTTCTTCAGGGGCCCGGCCATCTGTGCTGGACCCCCAGGGAAGCTGCCCGGGTAGGAGAGCTGCGCACTTGCCATCTGCGGACCACAGTTGGCCTGCTGCTGTGGAGGATATCCAACACCCAGCACAGGGCCTGGCGGAGGTGGGGGCTGGTACTGCCCATTCGGAGGTGGTGGCCCAGGCAGCCCATCCTGCCTGTGTGCTGGTGGGGACAGTGGTGAGACTCCAGGGCCACTCAGCATGGTTGGGGGTGGTGGGAGAACCTGGGATCCAGGCTGCAAAACGGATGGCTGTGGAGGTTGCGGAGGACCCTGGAAGGATGCTGCTGACGGAGGGCCAGGGGTTCCCTGGCTGGGGGGGAGCCATGCCCGGACCATAGCTGTTGATATGCATAGCACTGAGCTGACTGCCTAGGTGGGTGACAGATGAAGTGGACACAGGATTTGGATAAGATGGTTGTGTTGAGGGCTGGTACTGTGCATAAGAGGGTGCTGCGCTCTTGACAGGTGGAAGGCCTGGAAATCTTTGGGGAGAATGACCTGAGACCCGAGCTCCATTCTGGCCTAACTGATGGGGTCCAGGAGGTGGTGAGCCGGGAGACATCACCACAGGGGCAGTAGCCCCCAAGTTCCCAACTGGCTTCATCATACCTGGCGGAGAAGCTGCATGGGAAGGATCCCCATAGTGCCCATGAGGTGGAGAGAGGCCTGTTCCAGACAGACTGAGAATAGGGCGGTGGAGCCACATAACCTTGTTGACTCATTATGAAAATATCATTCCAAAGGACAATTCTACAAAAGGACCTGGTCCCGCGTCCACACACCGCTCCCAGCGCCACTCCCGGTGGCCCAGGTCCCGCCGCGGCTGCCTCTGCTCAGCCGGTGCCACAGGCGGGGCACGCGCATGGAGTGGCCACCGGCTGGGAACTGCCATGTCAACCCACCCTGGCCGTGCCCGGCGTGCGCTCAGACCAGCCACCGTGCTCCCTTCCGCTCACGCCTTTGTAGGTCTTATAGTCTCATTTTCTTGTACTGTTTGGGACAACATGTTTAATATAAGCATTTAAGCTCCTTGTTTCAATTGGTAATTACTTTTACATTGAAATAATTTGTAGTTGTGCCTCCAAACAGAGCTTAATTACCCATAAAATTCTTATAAAACAACTGATTGGTCTAGTAGTGTGTCATGTCTGAAAAGCATAAATACATTTAGTAAGCTTTCTACCTTCCATATTTGAAGATCACACTATCCAGCACACTTTCCATCCTGTAAGTTATTTTACAAGAGTGACCTAGAGTAGCAAAACTAAAGTGGATGTGAACTAAGCTTTCAAGATTTATTCTCTCCTATACTGAACATATACGTGGTTTATACCACTGTCATTTTTTAGTAGAAAGTTTCTGTTACAAAAATACAAAATTTTCTTTTACTTTTTGTTCTCCCTGGCCATACATTGATTGGTGTGCTAACTTAAATCCAGTCACAGGAGGTGCTGGAGGATTCTCTGAAACAGTCTTCAGCCTCCCACTTGGATCCAGCAGTTCTAGGCAGATCCTGGACTGATGTCATTACAGCAAACTAGGTGGAAACCACCATCTTAGAAACACTTTGTGTTGAAGAAGGAAACAGAATAACTACTTAGGCATTATGAGGGTTATGGTTAGACATGATACTTGTAAAACATTGTAGATAGTCTTGACTATATGCCTTTATGTTCTTAATACGAGTGGAACTTTTTAATTGGTGGTTTTCTGCCACATTAAGTCCTTAGCTCCTGAGTTTGAAAAGTGTAAAGAGTAATTTAAGCTCTGTGTTATATTTTTTAACTTACAGTCATTTTTCCTAACCTAGATAGAATTTGTTGGAAAGTGATGTTTTTCTAAATTTAAAAAAAAAATAGCCTATATTCTGTCAAAACATTAAAATTCAGAGGGAACAATGGTAACACTTGAGTTATAGTGAAAGGGACAGGCTGTGAATCACTACTTCAAAAGGATACCTATTTTAATCTATACCTTAATGGGATCTGGTATAGGGATATGCCCACAATAAATGTTTCATACCTAGAAGACTTAAGATGATAATTAGTAGATTACAAGAAAGGATTTAAGTTTAGTTGTAATTTGTAACTATGTAACATTTTCCCTTATTCTAATTTCCATTACTGATTGAGGTAAAAGTACAAATAATTCTATTATCTTTTTGCTGGAATCTTAGATCTAAGTTAAATGATTTAATTTGCTCTTTCTGTCACCAGCTGTGAGTGCCCCTTTTTAGTCAGAAATTTCTCTTATGAGGTATGAAATAATTTGATTCTGTGTTCTACTGAATCATATTCCTAAACAGGCACCAAGGAAATACATGATATTGAGCCCACCTTTAAGCTTAGTAGTCATTAATTCAAAAGGGGTGGAGAAGATGTGAAGAAAGAGGATTCTAAGTAGTAGCTGAAAAGAGAAAGAAAACTTTTATAAGGGATAACACCTTATCTAAGATGCCACTAACTAAGGAAAGTGGTTCATGGGCAGCTAGTGGCACCATTTCTTGCATCCACCTGTAGGCTGCACACAATAGGCAAATAAACCATGGATTAAAGATGAAAAGACTGATGATACCTATGATGAAAATTTGTGTTTCTCGGCTTTCTGGATCTCTTGGTACAAAAGCAAGTTTGAACATACTGAGTTAAAATTATAGTGCTCAAATTAATGTTTAGGACTGTGTTATTTCCTATTTCTCAGTTGGTAAACACTTATCTTCCATAATAGAATCACGGGCTGGCCATGTAGCTCAATGATAATGCACTTGTCTAGAATGTATGTGCCAGGACCTGGGGGTTCAAGCCCCAGAATGGCAAGCAGGGAAGGGGGGTGGCTCATAATGGACATCACTACTTAGTAGCTGCACTGATTACAGTACTGAAATCTGCTGATTGACCAGTACAGCCATTGCTAGAGTTTCTTCACATCCAGTTCCAAAGTTTTAAGAGTAAAGGGTCTGCTTCTTGGTAGGCTCCTTAAGATGACCATAGCATTAACATTTGGCTATGTGAGTGCTCAGAGAATTCAGAAAAGTGATTTAATGGAGAAGTGGCTTTTTAGATTTCTTCAGTTGACATAACATTAGCATCAGAGTATACTGGGTAGAAGAGGCCAGTTTCTTGATGAGTTTAAGACTGAATATAAGATGGCCATAGCTTTAGCCTTCTTTTTCCCATGTTATAAGTAGAAAACTTTACTTTGCTGAGGTAGAAATGGGCTGACAACAGAGATGACTGCGTTCTGTTTTTGTTTTCATGCCTGTTTTTCCCCATTTTCTATGGATATTTGAGAAATGGATCACAAATTCCAGAGGGATGGAGTAAGAAAAAGCAAGTAATGTAAGTTAGGCTTGTTTTGCTATTGAAGAGTTTGTCTTGGCACAGGGAATAGAATCTGTGTAGCTTGAATTGCTAGGAGAAAGAGTCAGGGATCACAAACAGCTGAGGTGTGGAGGCAAGGTGTGGAGGGAAGTGGGGTTTTACCTGCCCAGTGTTCTGAGCTCCCGTTCCTGAGATGCTGTGTGAATTTAGGATCATCAGCAAAGGGGCCCAATAATTTATTTCCTTTAAAGTTCTAAATGGCAAGTGAAAATAAAGTAATATGTGGAACAGTAAGTCAACACTAAAATTTGAACAGAACACTTTTTTGCAACTGTATATAACAGCTTTACATACTGTGTTTTGCAAACTAAAAATGCTGTGACACACATACAGCATTTCACAATTCAAGCACCAGATGAAAAGCAAGTTTGCTTTCAAGTTAGTAAAGAATGATATTAAAATGCTTGCTTCAGATAACTGTCGGGTTTTATCTTGACATCTTACACTCTGCAAAAGGTTATGTTTGCATTTGAAGTTTTCAGGCATTTTTCACATTGTTTGACAAGGGAACTTGGATAATACTATCAGCTACTTTACTGTTCCTTTTTAACCGTTGCTTAATAGTTTACTACACAAACCTACCTAGCAAATGTTGGTGGTATTCAGGGCCATGCACTTCCACAGCCCTGAGGACACAGTTCACATAAAACAGTTTAAAGTATCATGCACTTTGATATATGTTTCAGAAATGTTCATTACCACAAGTTCACATGCTATCATTTGAAAAAATTTACTGTGAGCTTTTTACGATATTAGAATGATGTCAACTAGTACTGTCATTTCAGTGTGAGAAATTAAATTTTGATGTCTGTATGCAACATGTTGATGAGGTCTCTGTAAAAAATACTAATGTTGGTCGTGATTTACAATGTAGGAGATGTAATATTTTCTTTTCCTTTGTCCTTTTAGGAATACAGTAACATGTCTTTTTATTGCACATAGTTTTGCAACGTTAATGAATTTAAATAAATTAATTGGAAAGTTTGTATTTGCCTTATTTTATTACATTTTCTCATTATGCTACAGATTTTTACACTGAATTATCTAATAAGCCTTTCAAATAATTTCAGGCCTTTACTGTTCTTTATATTCTAGGTGCTGCCTATTCCTTGGGGAGGAGTGAACAATTCTGCGTTGATTTTTACCATTGTTTAAACTATAACCCAACGAGGTACTTCATAGTTTAGAATTGCTTTTTAGTAGAGGATCCAAGGATGGATTATAAGAAAATGAATACATGACATAAATTAGGACCTGTTTAGAATCCATACCCTGTCAGGTGGCAGGTGGCAGCAGTGTTTTTTGCTCTTCCTTAATCAGTATTCACCTACTGAAGGGCCAACTGCTGTGCACATAGCTGCTGCATTTAATCCATTAGGGTCCTGACCCTCAGAAAGAACGAAGTATTGGGATTGCATATAAGGCACAAATTTTTTTTTTTTTTTTTGGTACCGGAGATCAAACTCGGGTCCTTAGCTTGCAAGGCAGGCGGTGGAACCACTGAGCTAAATCCCTGGCAAGGCACAAATTTTAAGTACAAAGTCTGCCAGATGAAACTTAAGAAATCACAATCTAAAAGCCCGTAGGACTAAATTAACTGCACCCCAATTTTTGAATGGGGTAGTTCCTCTGTGATAATTCTCAATTCGTCTTCAGTTTGATATTGTAAGGTCAACAACAGTAAAACCCAGGCGTAAAATGTGAATGCCCATTATTTCTCTTAACTGTGGGATATTAATCTGTAAAAATTACAATTCTCACTGAGTTCGAGCCCTGGTACCAAAAAAAAAAAAATTACAATTCTCTCTCTGCAAGGATTTAGAGTCGTCCTCACTGCCCGGGGGTTTGACGATCCAGCGCCCCGCCCCCTCCTCTCCGCGCCCCGCCCTCTCGGTTGCAGGGGTGGGCGGGGCCTCTGGGGCGAATCACTTCCTGGTTCTTCAAGCACTTCCGGGTTGCGGTCCCCACTCTGCGGTTTCCGCGGCGGCTGAGGAGGTGGTCGGCTAGGCTGCTCCTTCCGCGGCCCCCTGGCCGCTCTTGTGCTGCGTTCCGCGGCGGGAAGCGCCTCCCGCAGGGACTGGTGAGCGGGGCTGGGCGGGCCGGCGGGCTCTGGGGGCCAACTGGGAGGGCCTCGATTCCGGGCCTTTCGCCCCGGGCCGGGCGCGGCTGGTAACGGGCAGGCCAGAGGCCTCGCCTGGCGGGGCCGGCGTTCGCAGGTGGGAGAAGCGTCGCCGGGTGTGGCGTGCGCCCTTCAACTTTTCCTCGCGCGAACTCCGACAGAGAGATTTTAAACGGGGCCGTTCAGTCAGCGACCAGAACTGCTCGACTTTGGAGTCTTCTGATTTTCTAAGCTGCAAAGTCAGGAGCGAGTACTGAATTTGCCTAGCCAAGACCACAGCTGTAATGAGCAGTTGAAACAGAAGTTTAAACACCTTATAGCCATTTTTTAGGTAGTTAGCTGTCAAATGGGGCGTGACGAGCCTCTTTCCTACTTTGGAAAGTTTTTGTCTTCTGTTGGGCCTTTTTAGCCCTCTGCCCTCCACCCTTTATGCTTACTGGTGTTTACCTTCATTCCTGATTGACCAAATGTTCTCTTTGACTCCCATCACGTTTTAGGTACTGCTCTAGATGCCCAGTTTACTTCAGTGAACAAAACAGACAAAAATCCACGAAGCTTATATTTTGTTGGAGGAGCCAGAAGTTAAATGTAAAATAAGTACCCTCTGTAATGTGTTAAAAAGTACCATCAAAAAGAGTGAGCGAAGGAAGCCGGGCGTGGTGGCGCACGCCTGTAATCTCAGCACTCGTGAGGCAGAGGCTAGAGGATTGCTGCGAGTTCGAGGCCACCCTTGGCTAGGTTCAAGGCCAGCCTGAACTACAAAGCAAGACCCTGTATCAAAAAAAAAAAAAAAATTAAAGGGCCAGGGATTTAGCTCAGTGGTGCCACTGCCTTCCTTGCAAGCAGAAGGTCCTGAGTTCGATCCTGGTGCGGGGGCGGGGGGGGGGGATGTGTTGCAAACCTTCGCGAGGACTTTATTTGGATTTTTTTGTTCTTGTTTTCCTCCAAGACAGAATGCTGCTGTTGGTAGTTTTGAATAGACAAATGGTGCAGTTTGCCTTATGTTTTAAAGTCCTGATGTACTGCTATTGAGGATGAGGATGTGGGTGGCATAGCCAAGAATAGAACAAGACCACTTACTGAGCCATCACATTAATTTTAGTGACAGATGATGGTGACTTAAAGTGATAGCATTAGAGATAGTAGAAGTTGTCAGATTCTAGCTATATTGAGAAGGAATAGCTGAAAGGATTGACTGAAAGATTAGATACTGGGTAAGAGAAAAAGTTGATTTTGACTCTTAGGTCTTTGAATTGTTTTACTGGATGAGTAGGTATACTGCTTACTGAGATGAGCAAGACTGAGGACAGCAAAGTTGGAAGGGTGGTGTCAGGAATTTGGCTTTAAGCAAATTTAATTTGAGCCCCCTGCTTGATATTTTTATTCAGTGTCAAGTAGACAGTTATATATGGATACCAGAGAAGTCAGGACTGTAGATAGGGATTTGGGAGTCATCAGTAGATAGATGGTATTTAAAGCCGTAAGCCTGGATAGTCACAAAGGGGGAAAAGCACATGGAGAAGAGAAGACCTGAGGATACTCAGGATAACTCCGTAGGTAGAGGACAGGGTGCTGAGGAGGAATATGCTGGGGGAGGTACCACAGGGTCAGAGATCTTACGCCTGACATGTAGTAGAAGCCGGATAAATACTTGCTGAATCTGTACTACAGGAAGATGCATCCCTTATCTGTTTCTAGTCTCATACTGAAGCCCATTTGTCCGACCTTTCCTGCCTAAAATGCTTCAAGGACTATGCCTTTCTCTTCTGTCTGCCTAGAATGACTCCTTCTTTGTGCAACTAAAGTCTAGTTTGATGAATCTGGAAGCTTTTCTGAGCCAACTCAGTCCACAGACTCCTCCATCAGCATGCTGTGTACATCTCTGTCACACTTTGTATGTTGTACTGAAGTTAACCTTTTCCTTACGTCTCTTAACCTTATCTAGAGTGTAAGCGTTTAGCATCAGGAGACTATCTTTACTTGTCTCTCTCGTACCTGTCACAGTGTCATCCCCTTAGTAGGTGCTCTTTAGATATTGAATTGTGAGAGAACAGGAAAAGTAAAGGAGCAAATATGAGCTGAAGAATGTCTGGATCAGTGACTGGACAGCATTGAGAATGGGTGGTACATTCTAGACTAAATCAGGAAGACTAGAAAGAAATAGTAAAGAAACCAAGCACTTTGGCTCACACTAGCTACTTGGGAGGCTGAGATGGGAGGATTGGTTGAAACTACCTCAAAAAACTTTTTTTTATTAAAAAAAAAAAGATGCCTATGTCAAAATCACAGAAAAAAGCTAGAAAAATAATTATTTCTTGAAATTCCAAAAGTATTATATAGTAATTTGTAATTGAGAGTTCTAATAGTTCTATATTAGAATATGTGAGGTAGACTGTATTACATAATTTATAATGTTATAGTGTGATCTTTTTAATGATTTTATATTAAATTTTTAGGATATCAATGCAAGCCTGAAAATAAAGTAATTTCTTCCTCCTGAGTCATGGCATATCAGTTATACAGAAATACCACCTTGGGAAACAGTCTTCAGGAAAGCCTAGATGAGCTCATCCAGGTGAGAGACTGAAAACTACACATGGTCGCTTACATGAATGTCTTGTCATGTCCCTTATCCCAGTGAGAAAGACCATTTGGCCCAGCAGGTCAGTCAGTATCACTAACTGATGAATAAGCGCAAGTCCCTATTTATTACTCTGTCCTGATAGAAACAAAATATGATGATGATTGAATTGATACAGTTAAATAGAAGGAAATCTTCAAAATTTTTATGAAAAAATTAAAATTGATGGTTTTATATTTAGAAGAAGGACATATTCTATGTAGCTTTAAAAATAATTTTGCCCAAACTGGGTATGGTGGTGGACACCTCTAATCCCAGCACTCTGAGAGACAGACAGCAGGTGCATGTTCAAGCCCATCTTGACAACTAATGACTTAGCAAGACCCTGTCTCAAAATTTAAAATAAAAAAGTTCTGGGGTTGTAGCTCAATTCACTGGCCCTGGGTTCAATTTTGAGTACCACAAAATAATAGTAATAACTTAATAAAATTTAATAAACATCTTTTGAGATTTAAATTAGAATTTTAAATTTACATTTCAGTTCTAGATCAATGAATCTTTTGTTTAAACTGCCCAGTTGAGAACATATTAATGTTTATTTTGATATTATTATATAGAATTAGGTAAGATTTCATCTTTTTTAAAAAGATCCTATGTTTTTTATTTAGAAAAGGCTTGATTTCCTCTATTTTATTGAACACCTCTTTCCAGAAACTGAAAAAAAGACAAAGTTCTGTTCTAGCTTTCAAAATCACATGTTTCTTTTTCAAAATAATTTTTTTATGTGTGAAGATAGTTTAAAAAGTATTTTTAGAATTTGCCTCTTCATTGTCAGTTATGGCAGTGGCGAATATGGAACTCTAGTTTAGAGGCTCTGGTTATCCTCAGTTAAATTTTAAGTGGTAATTTGTACATTTTTATTTATTCTTTAATGTTCTTCCCCAAGAGAATTTATAACCTCTACTTTTTCTTAGTCTCAACAGATCACCCCCCAACTTGCCCTCCAAGTTCTACTTCAGTTTGATAAGGCTATAAATTCAGCATTGGCTCAGAGGGTCAGGAACAGAGTCAATTTCAGGGTAAGGATATTTTACTAAATCTAGAAATCTGCACCAATAATTGTTAAAGCAGTGTTTTAGGACTCTTGTGTATGTTTTAATTATAAGAGGAAAAGATGGCTAATCAAGTTATAGAACTTGTTTTTTAATAACTAAATTCTACTTTACTTTTATATCAGCTATGTACTGTATTTGTGCAGTTAAAGTGACATACTGAGTTGTTTTG